AGATGACTCGGTTTAAGCATCCTAAGCTCGATTTTGTCAGGTAGCTCAGTTAGCTTACAGTATTTAAACATTTAAAAATGTTAATTATTTCTAAGTTTTAATTATTTTGGACCGGTTAGAACAAATAGAATGATCAAAAATTTTACTTCGATGTTTTTTTCTATACACACAATGGAGTAATTTGAAACCGATCAATACGACATACAAGTATCAAAGACCTGAATGATCCAAAGGAATAAACACCATGTCACGGCTCTTACTTTTTTGATGATTGGTCTGAAGTATATATTAAATATACCATTTTGTGTATCATATGTTGTATATTGTCCAATGTTTTACAATTTCAACGCATTCTAACATAAAGGCGTTAATCACCTAGATGTTGGCAGAAGAAAACCACAAAATTTCATCTACACACATACTGACTTGGGTATTTATCAAATTTTCTATGGCAAAACATCACAAAATAAAAGTATGTTTAAGATATAAAAAAGGGCCAAACTCAAGAAATGGTGGAAGGTGAAGTATATATATGGGTAAATTATATTTTGATCCCCTCAATCACGATCTTTTTTTCACTTTGCCCCTTATTTGGGGGTCTATTATCTCATAGGGTTCAAATTAAAGATAATTGTGGTCATTAAACACTAAATATGGAAGGATTAACCTGGAGAACCTCAATCAGTATGGTAATCTGATTAACCTGATTTTACTTGTCATTAGTTGTTACACTTTAGTATTTTAAAGCAATCACTGTACAATTTTACTGCTCATAACCAAATTCTTTTACCGTCGTTTGTTGTATCTTTCAGCTACGGAGGTTGCCCCCAATCAAACCACAACACTTTTGTTTATAGTCATTTTCATCGTAATCACAACTATACTTTATTATCAATGTCAAAGTCAACAATGTCTCCTGGGAAAGAAGGCAAAACCCAAAAAAGAAAAGGAAAAGAGAGGCGATGAACCAATAATGGAGCGCTGTGTGAGGCTCTTCTTCGGTCATCCACATTCCACCATTGCCTCCACCACAAGACCATGAAGAAAGCTGGCAAGTAAAGGATGACGCTATAGAGTGTAGAAAACAGTTTCCCATGCTTGCAGGGACGGCTCGGCACAATTGGAGGCCTAAAGCCCTGTATGAACGAGATCTTTTATTTTTAAAAAAATATTTTCAAATTTTTTTGTAAATTTTATTTATTTTTAGATAAATATTTCTCATTACATTTTTGTCTTAAGTTTTGCTAACATATCTTTTTTGATTAATATAGAATGAATAATTGATTTTTTATTTCTTAGACATTATCGAACTAACAAAGGATTTTATTAATTTAAATTTTGAAAAGCTTCTATTTGTAGAAAAAATTGTTATAAAATGTTAATAATTATATTTTATAAAAATAATGCACTTGAAAGAATAAAGTATTTCTATCTAATTAAGTATCTCAAGTAAGATGCTTTCTTTTGTTTGTAAATTTTTTTTAAAGATATTTAAATCTCAAAACCAACCTAGACCATCAATAGCAAAAAACATTCATATTTAGTCAACACAGAATATTAAGACAATATTTTTTAAATTGCTATCGACTAGTGAGTTTTAGTTTTCAAATTGAATAGAAAATCATTAAATTCTTAAACTCAATGTTTATCTAGTAGATTTTGTTGTCTCCTCATTAATTTGTTTACTGGGGGAGGGGGAGGGGCAGTTGGGACCTATGGGAGTGTAGAAGTGTAATTGACTTTTTTAGCATTGAAATTTATTGTTTTTTTTTCAAATGTTATTATATAAGGTTAATGAGTTGGACTTTTGGGCCTAAAATAATTTAATGTTTCTTTGTTGGTTTGGGCCTTTGTGGGGCCCTTTTAGGGTTTATTTCTACGGGTTGAAATTTTTGGTCTAGATCATATTGACAGGCTTATGAAATTTAGGGCCTCATTCAACGATGGGGTCTAAAGATCATGCTTCAATTGTTGCGTTTTCAAGAACAATGAAATGACCTCGAATTCTTATCTTTGTGAACTTACATACTATTGTAGAGGTGAATGTTAAAGATAGTTTTTGTGAGACTTGTATACATTTGGTTTTCACCTAAATTCACCAATTTCGTGCAGAGTTAGTGAATCATATTTACAGTAGAGATGCCCACTTGTTATGCGTTGCATTGCATTGAAGTGTTGCATATTCTAGAATGATATTAAGGTGATGTTTGATAAACTGAAAACTGATCACTGAAAATTGAATGTTGCATTTTTTAATTTGTAAACTTTTTGGTATCAACTAAAATTTAAGTATTAAATTAAATCAAACTGTTTAACAAATATAAAAAGTTGAAATTTAAATTATTATTATTCTAATTTTGTCATTCTCTTTAACCCTCTCATTGTAACTACCATTTCCTACCAGGTGGTAGTGGTGGTGACAACACAATGGTGGTGGTAGTGGTGGCATAATGGTGGTGGTGGCGACGACACAATAGTGGTGAAAGTAGTGGCGGTGACAATGACACAATAGTAGTGGTGGTCGTAGTAGTGTCAGTGACATAATGATAGTAGTGATGACAATAATGGTGGTGCTGGTGATAGTAACACAATGGTAGTAGTAGTGGCGATAGTGATGGTGATGGTGGCACAATGGTAGTGGTTGTGGTAGCAGCAATACAATGGTGATGGTGGCATAATGGTGGTGGTGGCAATAATATAATGGTAATGGTGGTGGCAGTGGCACAATGGTAGTAATGGTGGCACCAAATCAATGGTGGTGGTAACACAATAGTGGTGGTGGCATAATGGTGGTGGTGGCACAATGGTAGTGGTGGTGACACAATGGTAATGGTGGTGGTAGTGGTGATAGTAGTGTTGGTGGTTATGACGATGACACAATGGTGGTGATGGTGGTGGCATAATTGTGATGGTAGCGACACAATGGTGACGGTGGAAGTGGTGGCAGGGGAGGTGGCGGCGGCGACAATATAATGGTGGTGGTTTTGGTGGATGGTGGGTATTGAAAAATTAAGAGTATAAGATGTATTAAGGGTATATTTATCCATTATGAGAAATTGATAAAATCTTTATTGACTAATATTTTCAGCATTAAGTGATAAGTAGGTGGCTTGTTACTTAAAATTTTAGCATATTTATAAGAAGTGCTTAAAATATTAAGTAATATGAGTTTTATGTTATCAAACGAATTTAATTTATAAAATTCTTAAAGTATTTAGTTTTAAACTTGAAGTGGTGTTATCAAATAGCTCCTAAGCCAATAGAACAATAATATCCTAGTGCCCAATATGTAGCTTATTATTGTTGTCTTTCAACTTTTTTTTTTTTGAAGTGAACATATACAGTTTGAAAGTATTCATAACTATCGATATAATAATAATAGAGATTTTTCAATCAACCACTCCCAAATTTATCAATGTAGAACTGGTAGGTCACTATGTGCCCAAAAATAGAGGCATGCAAATTTTTTACTTCGATATTCTATTATATCTTCTCCAATGAATTGGTTCGGATTTACGTTTCCCATAACACTAGAAATTCTGTGATACCCTCCCCGTAAAAGAGTGCACATATATATTATACACTCCACCTTGGCGGTCATTTAATTTCTCAGTCCACATTAGGTCATAGTCATTGCACTTGCACTGTAATTAAGTTCAACTGGCAATCATAAGTTGGTCCACATTGGGTGTAGGGGCAGAGTCAAACATCTTTCCCTGTGGGACAACATAAACTATACAATATTAAAATTTTAAATATTTAGAAAAATATAATTTCATTAATAAAATATCAATTAAAGACACAACTCATATATATGAGCGATATTCAAAAGGAACTAATTAAAAAAAACTGACTATAAATTTATCTATAAAATTTAACGAAAAATTTTGAATCCAAAAAATTGGGCTCAATCATATATCGAATATATACATGAGAAATTTCAAATTATCGAGCATCCTCTAAATCTTAGATAGCAACACAAGCAATAAGTAGAATCTTTTACAATATTGTATTCTAAAAAAATAAATTATAGAAGAAAACTATAAACCCCAATTTCTAAGTAGAATCTTTTACAATATTGTATTCTAAAAAAATAAATTATAGAAGAAAACTATAAGCCCAATTTCATTTCAATCCAAAAAAATAAATATAGGACTACAGTGGAGGCATTTAGCCTTTTAAAGCATATTGTTGACATTTACAAATGAGAACCACATATTTCTCAAAGTAACATAAGTACCTATATATCTTTTATAAAAATTTAGTGGAGGCAAATCTCTAATAAATTTTAAAATTTTTGAAATTATACTTACTCTCCAAAATTAATATTTTAAAATTCCAGTGGGGAGAGCTGCCCCCACTATGTATCCGTTAGTGATTGGATTATAACCGTTGAATATTTGATTATAATCAATCGTGTTGTGTATCATTAAATTTTCCATTCTATAAAGCTATACATTCTATTTTCTAGACTTAAAAAGGGAAAAAAAAATCAGGCTCTCCAAAAAGGTATTAGTCCATTTTTAAGAGATATTGATAACGTGTTTTTCTAACAGATGAGCATTTGTCATCACTCTACCTCCTACCTTTATTTTATAATTTTATTTTTCTCTTCTTGGGGATATATTATGCACATCTAACAGGCAACATTTGGCTAGGTAAAGGATATTAATGGGATCATATTATACCTCACGTAAGCGCACCCAAATTCAAGTCGGCAGGTTACTACCATCCCTAGTTGATCAACTCTCCCGCCATAAAAAAATATATTTAAAAACAAAACTTAGAGCTATAACGGGACAAGTACGTACGGATTATTGCACAGGCAAATCATTTTTAAAATCTCACCACAGGTTGATCTAATTGATTGCACCAATGAATAGAAAACTTATATCAGACTTTGTGAATTGAATTTTTCATCTTAGTTCGGTAGGATCAAGACAGAAAGATTGAGAAATAAAACTAGCTGATCTCAATTTTGGCATACAGGGTGAATAGGCATGGGGAACTCCGACGAGCTCATGATCTTGTCACCTCTAGTAAGAAGGAAGGATGTTGAGACGAGGGCGTGGCTTATTGTTCAAGAGATTGGAAAGTCACACATTGAAGAGGTTGGGAAGCAGTCAATTATGCGCAGGACAGGAATTCCAGCACGGGATCTTAGAGTTCTCGATCCTAAGCTTTCGTACCCATCCACGATACTTGGAAGAGAGCGCGCCATTGTTCTGAATTTGGAAAATCTTAAAGCTATCGTCACAGCAACTGAGATGCTCATTCTGAATCCAAATGATCCTGGTGTTGCGCCATTTGTCAGTGACCTTGAGCACAAACTCTCTAGTTCTGATGGCTCCCAACCTATTGTGAGTAGATTTTCTCTTCATAATTCATGAATCAAGTGTTTTGTTAATTTCATGAATCTTTTTAGAATTTTTCTTGTTAAAATTGGTTATGAAAGTAGTTTTGTTCTTGTTTTTCCGTTAAATATTTCGAAAAAGAGTGAAGCAAATGCTAGTATGTGGTTACCCTAAGATGAATCTTCTTCATAACTTTTCAGTTGTTAGTAAAACTTCTTTGAAATTTATCTAGTTGCCAAATTGTCACAAAACAACTAATATTATCACTGTTTTGATTGGTAATGATCAAGACGAAAGCTGGGGACGATAGTAGCTCTTATACATACCGATAAACACCGTAATTCTAGCTCTTTTTTTCCTTTTACTTTTGAATCAATTTGTGGATTGTCAATAAATAAATAAGTTGGGTACCTATATTAATTAATGCAGGTAATATGACTCATTTTAATTAAGCACGTTAAGATGGATAAAAATGGGATATTCATTGAGTTGAATATTTATCTTTCTATTAAATAACAAAGTCAATAAAATCAAATACACACAATAATACACCAAAAAATATATATACACTAATACACCAAAACACACACATAGTACACCAAAAATCACACACTAATACACCCACAAACACACATATATACCAATACACAACAAAATACACACACACACTATTACACCCATACCGGACCCCGACTCCGATGTATTAGTATGTGTGTATTTTGCTATATTAATGTGTATTTTTTTTGTATATTAGCATCTATTTTATTTAGTTTATTACTATGTGTTTATATTAAGAATTTTAATTATTTTATGCATTAATGAGTTTAATTCAACCTCTTACGATCCAACTCTTTATAACCCGTTTATTAATTGGGTTGAAAATAGATTGAATTTGTTTTACATCCAATCTTTTTTGAACCGGCCCTTAACCAACTCAATCCGTCCATTAGACTCCTCAGTGTCACCCAACCACAATCTTAATTGATAGCCCTTTCATGTGTGAAGGCCATTCAAGGAAGTGATGAGGATATAAATGACTCCCCCTCTGGTTTACTTCCTGAACCAAGTGATGGCAGACCTACAAATCATACAAATACATCGAAAATGGGTGGTTCAAAGGTCCTACCTTTCGAGTTCAGAGTGCTTGAAATATGCTTGAAATTTGTTTGCAAGGGCCTTGAATCCGAGGTATGTATCAACTTCATATAAATTTACCTGTTCATCAGCAGTGTAGTTTCTTGGCTTAATAATATTTTTGGTCCATAAAATATGTAGGTTTTATCCCTAAAATATTAATTTTTTTATTTGATCTGTAAACTATTCAATTCGTGTTTAAATAGTCTCCACACAAACAGACCATTAAGTTTTTGTCGGAATGATTATGTGTTGGTCATGTGCTACCCTCTGAAAGAATGACACGCGGTCACTTCCGTCAAAAAAATTTAACGGATTGTCTAATTAAGGACCAAATTGACACAAATTGAAATTTTAGAGACCAAATAAAAAAAAAATTAATACAATAAAGACCAATCTCATAAAATGGTGATATTTTAATGATCAAAAGTCCTATTAACCCTAGTTTCTTCTTAAATGGATTTGGTTGTTTATTTCAGACATCAACACTGGAGCAAGAAGCATATCCAACTTTAGATAAATTATCCACGAGTATCAACCTGCTTAATCTCCAACGAGTCAGACTTATAAAGAGTCGTCTGGTAGCTTTGTTTGGCCGTGTCCAAAAGGTAACAGTGATAGCTTTTGTTTCGAAATCTGGATATTCAAATTGATACATATTTAATTAGCTGATAATGTTGCTGAGTGTCGTGTATGAATATTGAATTATATCGTCATGACTTTTCAGATCCGAGATGAAATTGAACATTTGTTGAATGATGATATGGACATGGCTGAAATGTACCTAACTGACAAGATTGTTAATCAGCAACTTGAAGAACTCGAACTAGATGATGAAACTGAGAATGATGCAGATATAATAGATGATGACAAGTAATTTTCTTAACATACTAATATCTCCTCATATTTGAGGTATACTATGATTTAAGGTTGTATGGTTTGAAATTTCGCAATGATTATTAACTTGATCAATTTTTTTTTCCAATTATCATACACAAAGAGATACATGCATATTTTGTTTTCTTGTATGTTTGTGACATTGAACTTAATACCAGTGACGGAGACACGCTGAACAACAAAAACAGCTCTACGATTCTGACAGCTCAGAAGCCAAGGATTGAAGAGCTGGAGATGTTATTGGAAGCATATTTTGTCCAAATTGAGGGAACATTAAGCAGATTATCAACTGTAAGTTTGCATTTCCCCTCTTATCTAAGGTTTTATGAGCTAGGATGTGTCGCTATTGGATTAGTGTCCGCCCTTAAAAAAAAGAAATTGGGCCAATAAAAAGGGTCCAAGGGGGCAATCGGGGTGGAACCCTTGCCTAGGCGACCCTCAATTCAATATCAATTCAAAGTTGATATTGAATTAAAAGTTGATTTTAGTATTTAATGAAGTTAACTATCAATTCAATGGCCAAAATCCATCAGGTCAACAAATTAGATACAAGTATAAATAGTAATATTCTTAACTTTTAGACATGTGTCCGAATAAGTTTTGAATATCTTGCGGTCAGTTTGTATAGAATTGAGAGTCATTATGTAAAAAATACTAGTTTGTAAATGGAAGAATAAGACCATGTGTTTTTTATGTGAAAATAGTATTTTTTTTTTTTTACAGCATTGATTTGCAACGCTGTAAAAAGCAAATTGGCAATAATTAATGGTAAATGGCAAGTCATTCAAAGGATAAAAACACTTTGGAGTCAACTGTAAATAACAATAATTAAATTTATTTTTGGTAAAAAATTATAATTAATTTCTTTTATTATGTTTTTTTATTTATACGTACACAAATTGTGTATATAAAATTTTAACCTTTTATGTTTAACAAACTTGTAAATATCAAATATAATTTTAGTAACTATGAATGTATAAACTTCTTTAATCAGTTGAAAAAAAAATTTAAAACTTATTAATGTATCCACCCTAAAATAATTTCCTCGCTCCACCCTACATTCCGTTGCCTTACAACTCTCCTCTTTCTAAGCTAGTGGTGTCCTATACCATGCATATCAACCCAAAATGTGACATTGTTTGCAACAAAATAAGAAGGAATCATGATGTTCTTTTGAACATGTATAGAATCACACTATTCTTTTGCATTTTAACTTCCTATGGCTGAAAATGCTTTACCTCGTTAGATAGTAAGAATTATCAGTTTTAATCGAGTCTTATCATATCATGTTTGTCTCTATTGTTTATCTTTATGTAATCTTTCATTTTTTGTTTTTGTTTTTGTTAATGTCTCCTTTTGATGATACGAAGATGCGAGAATACGTGGACGATACAGAGGACTACATCAACATAATTCTGGATGACAAGCAGAACCAGTTGCTCCAAGTTGGAGTTGTGATGAGCACAGCACTTGTGATGCTCAATGTAGGTATTGTGACCATAGGTCTGCTGAGCATTAATGTTCGCATCCCTCTCTTTGATTTTGGAGTCCCTCGGCAATTTTATGAAGCCACTGCAGGAATAGTAGGTGGTTGTACATTCATATATTTCATGGCCATTATCTGGTTCAAGAGAAAAGGATTGCTAGGATGATAGATAAATGTATTTCGGCTCCCACATGTGAGTCAATAAAAAGGCATTCATGTGCACAAGATTTCTGTTATTGTAGAGTTTGGAGTCGATGGATAAATGTACGTAATCTTAATTATGTCAATGTTTGCTGATCTGGTGGTTGATATGATACATGAACCAAAGATGTTTGTTTCTTTTAACATGCGATATAATATTACATGAATTATTGTACAATTAAGTATTTTGTGTTTAGTTTTAATTACTAGATTGTGGATTAAATAATTTTCTACTTTCTAGGGACTTATTTGTGGTAGATTTGGTGCATTGAAAACGAGATTCTTATTTTGGGATTTGTAATTTACGAATAACAATAATAACGCCAACAATATTTTGAAGAACCTCGAAAACCATATACAGGTGTAGAGCACATTAGGACCACCGCCACTTCAGAATCGTTTTCATTAGGGGTGTCAAAATATGATACGATCCGTTAACACAATATGAAATTAGATGGTTTGGACCTTTCTTAAACCACCCGTTTAACAAACAAGTGAACCCAACACGACACAATTAATTAACGAATTGGGTATGTGTGAAGTCAATTAGAAAAAATACACGATACAACTCGTTTATATACTAGTTATACATAGTTAATATATGATATGATGCATTAGATACAAATTAATAAACGAATTAGATATGGGTAGAGTATTTTTTAATACGAACTCACTAAAATTCGGCATAAACACACATCACCCGACAAGATTAATAAGCCTAGTTCCCATCCGTGTATATTGTGAAAAGCTGTTGACTGTATACTTATTTACTTGGTTTCAGTATACTGAAACAACTGAACTTGGTTTTAGTATACATCTAACTTCGCATATGATCTCTCGAGTCTTTTTTACTAATCCCATGTCATTGGATATTTGTTTGTCAAACTCGTGCAATTTTAATCTTATTTTTTAAATTTGGATGTCATGAAAATATAAAAATCTTTTTTTTGTTTATCACTGCAAACGTTATTATAAATAATGTCTTCAAACTACATTTGTTCACCACATAGATGAATCGCGCTATCTATAAATCAACATACATCTATATTACTATTAAAAATATTTTAGATGAAATTTTTTTGAATTCCTCTTTTACCCTTAAATAAAATTATAAGGACAATTATACCTCACACTAATATTTTGATCTAAATGTAAAAAACTTTTGAATTTTTATTTTGTCCTTAAATAAACTAGTAATGCACCACATGCGTTGCAAATTAGTAGTTTTTGTATAAAAAAATTAATAAGACAAATTTGGAATATGCCTATTTGAATTAAATATCATCTCATATTTATAAAAACTTAATTTTTCATTACTCATATAAAATTATAAAAACTTTATATATTCCTAAAATTCTTTGTTTTAACTAAAATAAAATAGATTTAAAAACAATATTTAAAATTTTATTTTTTTAAGAATTTTGTAATTGAGATTAAATTTTTAGTGATGTTTGAAAAATTAAATTTTTTTAAAATTCATTTTATTAGTATTCAACTTATAATTCCTTGAATAAAATAAAAGTAATTGTTAATATACTAATCATATTAACACCTTACTATAATTAGGTATTGGTCAAGTGAATTGAAATAAAATTTAATATACTACTCTAAAAGTCTAAAAATTTCAAGGTATACTTAAAATTTCTAAAAAAAATAAGGTTCTACAGTATTAAAATTCTAAAAAATGAAAATTTTACTTAAAAATATACTACAATATCTATTTTCACATAAAATCTTAATTCAACTTAGTAATTTTATTGTGATTGAATAATTATATTGATGTAACATAAATTGATTTAAAAAAACTGTATATACTCTTATTTTTTATCTTAAAAATGAAAGGTTTAAACTTTTCAGTAAAAAAAAAAAAAAATACACATATGCAAGTATAATATTATCTTTGTATATGAGATAAATAATATTAAATTAATTAAATTTTTTAAGATTTTTTGAATACTTTATTGAAAGTTTAATGAGGCATATTTTTTTTATAGGAACTGATATTTATAAATAGAAAATAGATAGTTAAAAGAGATGTTAAAGATAATTTGGAGATTTAAATAAATATGCATATGATTATAATTTAGATGTTTACTTGTCAAAGCATAGAGTGGTCTTTGCAATTCTTTGTAAGGATAACATAGAGATTCAAAAGTTTTTCAAGTTAAGATATTTTTATTAGTAGTATAGATATATGAAGATATTTATGGATTAAATCATAAAAATTTGAACTTGTGTGTACCTTAAAAAACCTACAAATTAAATGATTACCAATATACAATTCATAAAAGTACACTAATAAATATATATTGTAATTTTAACCCAACACAATTTAATAAAATTCATATTGTAATTTTGTAACTGTGATTTAACAATAATATTGAGTCTATATTATCCTTAATCCAAAAGATTACTCTAACTAATTTTTCTTTTTTGATAGATTCATAATATGAAACTAATTTTTTTCGTTGGTCTAATATATTGGTAACTTATCGAACTTGTAAACCTTACAAATTCTAGAAATAGTGTAAACAAGTCTTAAGAGTTTTTGAGAGTAAATATCAAGTTATAACAATAACTTAAGAAAATTCTGACTTTTGAACTTTCCATCAGTTACTTATATCTTATATATTTAGATAAATTTAACAATGAATTTAGAATTAAATTTTTTTAACTAGAAATAAGTTAGCTCTAGGGAATTACTCACATATAAGCTTGAGCTAATTTTTGTCACTTCTAATTCCCAAATTTGTAATCTTCAGATAAATGTTGCAGAAGAAATAAGCCTTTGTAGCTGAAACATATACGTCTTCTGCCTATAGGTTTGTATAAAACTTAAAGCTGCAACTCATTTTTTATCATGGTTGTATTTGCAACCAAATCTACATTTGAATGTATGTTATGATGATTTACTGGATTATCCTGTTATCTTGTATTTCATTATAAAATTTAAGAAAAAAAATTTATAAAATACAATATCTTTTGCGGTGATTTTATTAAACTTCTCTCTTACAATGTATGTATGACCGTGATTCATGCAATCAATATTTATTGACTCTTATTACGTATGTTCTTAAGAGAATTGTGTCAAAACAGGTTCTGGAGAATGTATGCTATTTAGATTTGCACGCATACGGATCGAAAGTTATATATGTGGATATCTAGAAACTTATAGGGTGTTAAGCCATATAGTAACAATTTATCATATAATAAGCAGGAATCATAGGGACATTCACGCGAGCCTTTAATCAAGGTTGGAATCATAAGTTTAAGCTAAAGGACTCAAATAGTGGTGTAGCTATGAATTTTATTTAACAAGATCATTCAATAAGTTGTCGTTAAAGTTAATTTTTTAGTTATGTATAACTTATAGAAATTAATTTTCACACAAGAATTAGAATATAATATCTATTTTTGATAAAAAAAAAAACTAATTTAGTGTTGATCAATTTATCAAACAATTATCAAATTATGGTTTATTATCATATAGTGAAAATTTCCAACACAAAAATATCAAATATTATAATAATTATAACTCAATTTTATGTCTAATTTTTTCAATCATTTTAATTCAATCAAAAAATATAATGTTGATCCAAAAAAAAAAGTGAAAAAAAATATACATTTACTCAATACGCCTTCGCCACTAGACTACAACCTTTTGCACTATTCTTAGTAACGAATAAATTACGCATACTTTAATTATTACTTAAATTCCCAATATATAAGATTTTTTTGAAAAAAAATTGAGGTGAGGCTATGTCCCCTTTTGGTCATGTAGTGGTTCTATCCATGCCTCTAAGAATAGGCAAATACATCAAGAGAATGGATTGAATTCATTTATCGATAAGGTATAGTAGATTTGTCACACATAAACATATAGTCTCAATCAACCTTCCAGTATTCATGAGTCGATCAATCAATCTTTAAATAATCAATTTAGCATGTAATCTAACTTCTTGGAAGATTATGGTGGTTGGAACACATAGCAACATATAACATATCTAGACAACAAGTATCAAATGAGATATACTTTGATTCATAGGTGTACATTTATTTAATTGTTTCATCAACATAATAATAAAAATAACATCACCACCATAAATTAAAAATTTTCACGTGCAGTGCACATGTGTACCAATGTGTCAAGTGATAATTTTATATTAAAAATATTACTGATAAATAAAATTATGTATCCACCCAATAGGAGAATACATTAGTAAATCATTATTATAGTTTTAGTATAATAGAATCCTAAAAAAGGTAACACAAAAAACTAAGTCTTGCATTTAACAAGAATTGACCACTTGACCACTTAGCTGGCATAGTATTAAGTGATTGAAGGGTTGTCAATTAGACGAGACCATTTTATTTTGATCATTTATTATTTTTAAACTTCGAAAAAGTGTGATAGACATGTGTGAGTATGTAACCAATGTATTTTATTATATTTAAATTAAATTATAAAATAGGACTCATAAATTATAAAAACTATATTTGACGCAATTTTTCATAATATTTCAGCTCCAAACAAATTAAGCTATATACCGAAATAATAAATATAAAATTAAAACTATTGTTCAAAATAATTTACGTGTAATATCCGTATACAATATTTAATTCTAAACAAAAGTCCACATCGATGAAGGCCCAAAGGCACCTCCCCCAAAATACATCTGTGACTGGCTAAGGTTGAACTAGAAAACCATCCAGTGTTAAAGGCTCGGGACAAGTCAACTAGGATCCTAGACCAATATATGCTGGCATTATTCTTGGTTCTTGCCCGAGCCAATTTTTTATTTTTTTTAATTCCTATTTCTTTCTATTTTCTATTTGAAAATTTCTTAACAAATATATGGAAATAATGAAAATAATTAATGTTTTAATAATGTTTTTTACTTTATAGAGTTTTTGATCATGCCATTTTTGACACAGAAATCCGCATCCTAACAACTAGTAAAAGTATGTGCATATTATTCTTTGACATCTCAATTATGACTTTTTTTATATTATCCCTTCAACTATCACATTTTTCTTATTGCACCCTCAATTATGTGATTAGTTTTATATTGTCCTAATTATTAACGTCCATTATATATTTAAAGGAAAGTTTTTTTATTTTGCCCCCCAAAACTATACTATTTTTTTCAATTTTCCCTAGCATGTTGGCAATTTTTGTCCAAAAAAATAGCAAATGTTTTGCAATCGGGGCAATGCCACATAATCTGAGCAGTTGCAATTGGGGCAAAGTGAAATCAAGTCTATAGTTTTAGAGGTCAAAATATAATTTAGTCCAATTCCAAAATAGTGTGGGCCAATCTTTTGCCCAAAACGTAACCACGTGTCAAAAGAGTGTGGCCCATCTTGGGCCATACTTGGGTTGCATTGGGTGGGTTTGAACTAACAATGTTCAAACCTAAAGGAGATTTCTTTGCACATCCAACACCTCTTTCCTGACACAAATTCACTATAAATAAGAGTTATATGTACATCCAACAAATCTTTTGCCTTTCCTGATGCAAATACTCTTCTTGGATTTTAGCATGAAACATAAATAGGTCTAAACAGAATTAACAAGTTCACCTTTAGTCACAGTAGACTCCAGTAAAAAAAGGGAAAGCCTGTTAAATCAATAAGTTGACAAAAAATTTGACCAAACATGACACAGATATATGAGCCCGACCCGACAAAAAAACTGACTATAGACAATTATAAATGAGTATGATATCAGTTAAACAAATTTTGACGTAAACTTAAATAGAGCATGAACTCAACATGACAAAAGTTATTGTCAGTTTTATATATAGGATTGAAAAGAAAAAAGATACAATGCTCAGTTATTAATACTTATTTTATGTCTCACAAAGTACTGCAGCATCCAAACAAGCAATGGTACTCAAAAATCGAATAGCAATTTGTCAATTATTTGGTGGGATTATAACTATGCTACCTTCAGACTTTGACTTGAAAAGTTTCTCAAATTGTGGAGTGACATTCAGAGAGGCTTGTAGAACTGAATGAGATAAAAAGAAAAAAGGAGACAAAGTTTTCAACACCGATGTTTTCCCATCTAATTGCCCAAATAAAGGTCTGCAAAAGAATTGAGAAAAAAAAAAGTAATAAACATATTTGCATAAAATAGTTGTACTTGAATTTGGAACCACGAAATGCTAATCCTTTTCTTAAACATTTTTAAAAACTTAGGGTTTTCTTAGACGTTAACTACTGAACTATTGTGCTACAATACATAATTAAAATGGGACTTACTTTGGAGATGTTTGGATAGAGAAAACTCCCATTCCTTCTCCTTCTGCAATTACTGAAACATTGAAGAATTTGGGCACAACAAAAAGCTTCCCTGCCTGCACTTTGGTGTCTAAGACAATTAAACCCCACCAATTGAACCTTTCCACTGCCACTGCCGACCTAAACCATTTGAAACTAATGAATCTGCTGTGTACATGGGAGCCAACATGGCATTAGCTTCCAATTTTGCTACCCTTGCACCGAGTCCGACCTATCCGAGCACCGGAAAATTCTCCAATGTGATCAGAGAGAGCGATTCGCTTTTTTAACCGCAACATCTGACACAACTTCATCAATATTGGCAACCAATCCCTCTTTGGTATTGTCCTTGCATGGCTAGGGTATGTTGATTCCTGTTTCATATAGTAACTCTTTTTTAAAGAAACATTTTAAATGAAAATGTATTGTTCTTAAAAATAAATAAAAATAGGTTTAATTTACAATCTAAGAAAGTGAACTACATGTATCTTCGTATATAAATGAAGAAAGCAAACATTTTTTTGAAAAAAGTAACTGAAAAAACAGAAAGATTAAGAAAAATGTTATCGAACGATCTTGAATACATCTTTGTATACAATGAAAAAAAATAATTAAATTGAAAAATAAACACTATTAAAATAAGTAACTAAAATAGTTAGATAACCGTTAGCAAATGGTACCTTCTTCAAGTTTAACAATCAAAACACCGGTTTGGCTGTTCATGAGCAAGTGAGCTTCTTCTTCATTTATGTTATAAACTCTGCTGACAAATTCGGTTGATAAACCCAGCAGGATACCTAGGGTTCCTGCCACGAAGAAATAGGTAAACTGGCCAGGTGTATGAGCCTCGGTAGTGTCACCCAAGAAGACAATGACCACGTCTGAGTCTCCGCCGTTGAACCACCATGAGACACCTCCCAGTGGCACCGGAATTGCATCCCCCTTGTTTATTATCAAGACATTTTCTTTTGAACTGTTGGTTGCAATCATCCCAACTGTACAACTACCTACGGAGAGAAGATAATGTCCTGTGAGGTGATGGACACAAGCCTCGTATACTAATCTACAGCAGAATATATATTTTGGGTTGAATTCAAATTTAATTCTTCAATCATGTAACTCGGATTAGAATAAATGTTTAATTCAAGATGAACCGAATTCAATGGTCCCGAGAATCTGAGACCACAACTCAAATATTACTCAAAGTTAAACCGAGTTGGGATTTCTACACCATATCCAAAGTAGAGTACTTAAAATGTTTTGTTAAAGTACTGGAAATTTTTTTTTGGTATTACTTACCCGACAACCAGTGGATGAAAGTTGGACAACCTTAAATAATTGTCAAAGTTAGATACCCTACAATACATTATCTTTCATTTTTTTAATTATTGGACTCTCCACTCTGAATTCACGTGATATTTATTGTATATAAACAAATATTTCACTCACTAATAGTGGATGGTTTATTAAGAAAATAAATGCATTAAATGAAGAAGAATACATTGTCGATTTCAAAATTATAATTGTTTAAAATCAAGTTAATTATAATTTTTTGGGGTGACTTACAATTGGAAAGATTATAATTGATCACAAAATATTATGCTCGATTATCAACATTATAATTTTTAAAGGTAAAGTTACAATTGAATAGGGTTAAAGCATAACTTGACTTTTAAAAAAAAAATAATCTGACTTCTAATAAATAGTACTGATATTAAATTTTTTTTGGGACAAAATTTGACTAAATAATTACAAGTATTTACCAATAAAGTTAAGTTTAATCATGACAAAAAGCATACAAAGATTTAAATTTAAATTATTATATGTAATAGTAAAACCAGCTTTTGACTAGCTTCAATAAAAGTAGAACGAAAAGACATAAAGTATTATTTTCTTAAAACATGTCTTTTCCAACATATATTAAAGTGGAACACACATTGTTTCAATCTAAAAATAGTATATAATTGAAATTTAAGTTAAATTTCTCATTTATTTTCTTTTAATGTACACAATCATCTAGTTTATAGAAAAATAATCTTTCATTTTGTTGTAAAATTTATCTAAAATAATCTTCTATCATATTGAGAAATTGATTACTTGAAGTAACATGAAATATCTTTTTGTGTTATGTTACTTTATTGGGTAAAAAACAAACAATTCCATTAAACTAAGCTCAATCTCACTTTACCCCCTATAATTTTATGGGCTGCACTTAATCCTCTCCAACTTATTAACAAATTACAAATTTAACAGAATCTATTTATTATAACGGCACAGTAATTGCACACGCTAATTAAGCACGTATTATAAAATAAATAATTTCTTTTCTAAACTAAAAAATAAATTTTCAATTTTATCCTTCATCCTCCTCTCTCTCACCTCTCTTTCTTTTTATTTTTTTCTAAAGACTTGCAAATTTATTTTTGACTTATCAAACGACTTATTTTCTGAAATCTATGGTCATTTTTGAACTCATTGACCCCAAATTGCTGGACCCAACTCCCCTTTTGAAGTTTTAATAAGTTTTCTAAAGTTTTAATTGTTAAATTTCCAAACACTAGGTTTCTTTACCACACATGCACACATATCTAGGTCATGGCTTCCAAGCACTCCAATACACTCTACTACAACCCCATAACACAACACAAGCTTCAATTAAGGAAGAAATGGTCGTTTGCTGTGTAATCCATTTAAGCTTCAAACACAAATTTGAGTGCACACACACAACATAAAACTTAAATCTAATCACATCAATGAAATCCTTGTGAAAAAATAAGTCTGACTAAGTTGAGTTTATGTATTATAAGCCTCTGAATCGAAAATCAAAAATTCTTTTTCTTTTTCTTTCATCAACCTCTCTCTCTCTCTCTCTCTCTCTCTCTCTCTCTCTCTCTCTCTCTCTCTCTCTCTCGCCTTCTCCATAGCTTGTAGATGAATTTTGTGGGGTGTAGTGTTGGGGTGCGACTATGGTGGTACAAGAGTGTTAGGTACAAGTTTTGTTTTTTAAAGATAAGGGTTCTACAATAATTGCATCATAAAGAAAATTAGATTATTGTCCTACTGTGTAAATTGTTACCTTGTTATCATTTGTAGATTGTTCACAAGTTGGAAGGGGTTAAGTGAAACCCATAAAAATATAGGTGATGAAATGATATTGACGCTTAGTTCAGGGGAGTTTATAGTTTTTTACCCTTTTTTGTATTCTACATTTCATTGTGTTTTATTGGACTGTAAACTACTATAAGGGTGGTTCAAAAGTCAACATACCATGGCTCCACCCTTGGATAAGCATTACCCAATTTGATTTTTTAAGTTGGGTCTATGCACATAGCGTGTTATTAAATATCTAAGGTTTTTTTTTTTATATATATTTGGTGAAAAAGACGGTCCGGTCTAGACTAGGCCCCAAAATATAGATGCAGACTAACGAAGGCTTAGTCAAAATTTTAATTCGGCCAAATCCACCTTCCTAAGAAAACAAGCCCATCATCTATATATGTGATGATCTCTATTTTAGGAGACGGAATCTGTGAGGGCGCAGTCAAATTTAAAATAGTTCACTGTCTGATTTGTGGAATGCTTAAGGCGAAGGACTGCAAAGGATGCCGACTACGAGTATACCAATACCAATAAGGTCATTTTTAAAGCACGAATAGAGCAACATACATTAAGCTGAAAAAACAATTTTTGTTAATAGAACGAGTACTGCAAAAATGGGACCAAAAATTCAACTCAAATGACATGGAAACTGAAATGATAAGTGAATTAGAACAAAAAGCATCATTATTACAACTTTATATCATTTGATTTTTATTTTTAATTCTGATTTTTGGTCGACGTAACATTATTTTAATAGAAGAGTATTCATCTATTTCCTGGTTGATTGTTATATAAGAGAATGAATATGAGGAAACTCACCGTTACAAAAAAAAATCGATACTGGTACTATTGGTTCCTATATGATAAATTTACAATTGCTCAAGGGAGATCATGATCGATCATAAAATACGCGGTATCAATCCTGATGGTGCTCAAAAATGCTATGCCCAAGTGCAGAACAAGGACTGTGCATGAGGCCCGATGGGACTCTGTGAATGTTGGGCCAATAGAAAAGTAAGTGTTGACGTTGGATTAAAAAATAAAATATAAGTGAATCACCTTAGCTAAAAGGCTAAGACTATGTCCACTGCAATGGAGGCTCTTGGTTTTTGAGATTTGTATTACTTGAAGTAGAAGACAATGGTTATAGTAGGTTTTTTTTTTTGAGAGCCTCTTCCTTACAAAGTCTATTACAAAAAAGATTCTAAGACCCCTTATACAGTGCTTTTGTATTCTATATATACATGTGACAATCTAAGGTTTTTGCGATTCTTTCATTCTCTTTACTGATTTTGTGGTCCTCTCTTCCTTTGTTCTATAGCGGTGTCTGTCACCCTGATATATGTTGTGCCCACGATCATCAAAACGGTGTGGGTGATGATATTCCCTTTACCAACGAATATTTATTCGTTAGGGTCATAAGAAGTTGTCCCCCTATTCCTTGGACATGTGGCGCGGTGGGAGCGGTGTAGGATCTATCGCATACTGAGCTCTTAGTTCCCGAGTTAGTCTACTTCGCCGAGCTTGAGATGACCGAGCAAGAATATACCAATGCAAACACTATTGGAATTCCTCCCTTGGGTTGTGGCCCATTCCTATGATGAAGTGAGCATGCTGCGAATGGGTCATTTAAGTTGTCATGTAACCAGAGGGC